CTTGCAGGCGTTAGTCATGGACCCAACTACTCCAATGCTTGGACTTGCAGGCACTATTCATGGACTCAACTACCCCAATGCTTGGACTTGCAGGCACTAGTCATGGACCCAACTACTCCACTGCTTGGACTTGCAGGCAAAATAGTCATGGACTCGACTACTCCAATGCTTGGACTTGCAGGCACTAGTCATGGCCTTGATTACTTCAATGCTTAGACTTGCAGGCAAAATAGTCATGGACTCGACTACTCCAATGCTTGGACTTGCAGGCACTAGTTATGGACTCGACTACTCCAATGCCGGAACACAAAAAAACACTGATGAACAACGATGACTTGGATGTAATGTACATGTACGTAGTGGTTTTAAATGGTCACCTATTCAAGTTCAACCAATATGCTGTACATGTATATACAAGTACACATTTATGAACACACATGTCACAAATCTTAAGGCTAGCCAGTGTTGATTGCCATCATTATTCCTTTGTTCCTTTTCCAGACTAGTACAATATCGAGCCACATATGATGTACATGTACCACACAAGCAAGATAACAAAAATACAAGTAGGGCAAAATCCTGACCGAAGCTTAAACTTCAAGTAGCACCCCTGTACCTTTTTATGATATCAATCCACATTTTTTGCATACAAGTAGTCACAAATCATATAAAAAAAAAAAATCAAGCGGACGTTAATCCCCTCCAACAGACAGTTGTCTGTCAGGACCACAGACTCTTGAAAATTTGCCTCACAAAAAAAAAAAAAAAAAAGCAAAGCCGCAGCCGACAGCTGGGATCGGTTGTTTACTTGGGCAATGTTGATTCTAGCAAAGGTGGAGACTCAAAGGTCAAAACTACCCCATCCTGTTTATGAGGCAGGGTACAGCAATTGGACAAAACATTAGGCCGGTACATTGTAAGTGTATAAGTAGGAACTGGTACACTGGATGAACATGCATGCCGGCAGTACACGTACATGTACCATTCCTGGTGAATTATTGTTAGGTTTCTGTGGCGTGGTTTTCTTTTTTTTTTCCAATCTCTGCTATGGGGCGACAAGCTGGCTTGAGGTCAGTTGGGCTAGGGAGGCAATTTTCTCCATCGTCGTGATGTGCATGCGGTGAATGATAATCAGACCAGAGTGAATCCAGGATGATATACAAGAACCTGTGGTGTAATGAGGAGGCGTGTAGACTTACAGGAACACGCACCCGGATGCACTTATATTCTGCGTTCCTTGGGCTGACTGCCTTGGTGCCTTTGAAGCCAAACACAGATGAAATAACTAAGTCAGGAGGGAAAAAAGAAAACAAACTGTCTGGTGCTCAGTGACGAGGAATACGCATGTCATCCTCATGAAGACAATGGCATGTATGGGAGCAAAAACAGGCTACAGTGCTTCCAAAACGACTTAAACAAACAAACAAACAAACAAACAAACAAACTTTTCACGCACACATACATGTATCAGTACATACGTGGGCGCTGAAGCAACTTTGTTGGCCGACAAAAATGTATCTCTTCCACGTTCTTCCATTCAACCTGACATGTATGTACATGTACCGGTACTTTGCTAATAAGACTGCGCGAACAGGTTGATAGGTTCTAATTCCATTTCAACTTAACAAGGAGTACATTTACATACAATGTACATTGTACATGTATTGAGAGAATACAAATTCTTCCGAAACTTCAGACATTAACTGCATGAAATCACCAGCATGTGATTGCAGTCATGTGAACACTACCGGTACATGTACTGTACTCCTCTTATCTTTAGAACCTACCGGTACTGGTAACAGGGAGCATGACAAGTCCTTCAAAGATTGGAATTTGATGTTTGATTTTGACTATTCCAGACAATCTCGGCTTCACTGAGACCCTCAGAACTGTAACTGTTGAAGTTAAAAGAGGATAGCCATCTTCCTGTCTGCTCTCCATTCTCTCAGTAAGTACCTGACGCACACTGAGGCTATGTGATATGTACGGGACAATTTTTCAGAAAGTGGCTGGACTTTGTGTCTGCCGTCTTGTTTACTTTCTATCCCCAAAGGAAAGCACCCAGGACATTTGTCAGTTCTCTAGACAACCCACGCCCCTCTTTCCTGGAGCCTTGAAGGAGTCCCTGTGTCCACTCTCAAGTCAAAATGTAACCAGACAGTCCCTCAAAGCTGCGTCGTCTTGTAGCAGGGCCCCCACACAGGGAAAAGAAAAAACAAATCAATACCTGACTCCAACTTTCATACCTGTACCTTGTGCAAATGGTGGGACCCCTGTCAATATTTGCTGAGTGATTACTGACAAGGAAGGAGATGCATGTACTGGATATCACAATAAGAGCCATGCACCATGCACAGGTTACAGGTCACATGACAGCAAAGGATCAGATGGTGAAATCATGATTGGACAATGGGGATTTTCTGGCCATTTAACTTACTAGTATCTGGGCAGATTTCTTCCACAACGACACAAAAAACTTGAATAATGACAGCTCAGGTGGCCCGTCAGAGGCAGACCAAACACCCTGTGTGTGTCTAATGTCACCGTCTGCAGGGTGACATCTAGACTGACTTTTCTATTCTTATGGGGCCTGTTTGATTCAGGAGTATCTGGGTCTGGATCAGTAGGTGTAATCCCAGAGCTGGTTAGCTCTATCCATTAGACAGGTTGATGTCAGTGAACCAATGAAGGATCACTGATCGCAATCCAGATCCGCGTAAACAAACAGGCCAGCAGTCCTTTGTAGAGGGCACAGCTTGTTAGATTGACCAATCACATCCATGTTCTTTAATACTCCTACAGTAATTGTGTTGTTAAATTTTGTTGGATGTGACCAGAATCTCTTGCAATAAAAAGTACAAATGATAACAGTGCCAAGTGTGCCTACTGGGTACATGGACAACAGAGCTATAGAGTGCTTCATGTAGAACTGTGAATGGGTTGGCAGCATTGCAGTCCAGTCCATCACATCCCAAGTCCAGTCAGGATAACCAGTAAAGGTGGAGAAATGCCTCTCTCACGCTTCATCTGAAATGTGTATGCGTATACGTCTATGTACTTAGACCTAGTGGCTTAATTTGACAAGTTAGAGAGGGGTAGTGATGAACACTGTATTATAATGAATATGTACATGTATGCACTAATGTGAATATGTACACACAGCTTTCCTTATACATGTACAAGCACCAGTGCCTTATAGACCACACAAGGTACATGTACTGTACACAAGGTCAACAGGCCCTTCCATCATGGGCAGTGGCTCCTATAATGTTGTACAGTGCTTGTACATGTACATGTACATGGGTAATTCCAGAAATTAGGGGTCCAAATGTATGACATTTATGTGTCCCTGTTACACTGTACATCTGACCTTTGTTATTTGACATGGAAATATCACCGGAATCGATTTCAAACTATTACTATTTGTGTAACAGGTAATTTACATTAATTCATCACTCTTGGAAATTAGAACATGTGTTTTGCAAAAAACATATCGGTACTTGTGTTTCAGATGTGACAGAGACACCAAAAAAATGGACCCCTAATTTCTGGAATTACCCACATGTAATGACATGTACAGTGTGTAGGGTAACTTGCTGGTAACTTTCACGTACAGCTACATGTACAGTAGAGGTACATGCACCTGCTGTCAGCAAGGGACTGCCATACTGGTACCCACCACTCTACCACTTCAACAGCGTCCTGTAGGTTTTCTACATGATAATGCACTGGTTTTTTTGGGTGTTGTGTATACTTTGTTCTCATTTTGCCACATTGGTTGTCCCGACTGCTGGCATTGTGCACATTCAGTCGAACACTGGTTACATTCCCCATGAACATGCACAGGTTGCACATTCCTGCAGAGTCTAGACAGACAGAGCATTTCATAATATTCCGGTGGGAAAAAGGCTTGTGCGCAATTTTTTTGCAAACTCCCTGACGGCTAAAAAGCATGCAAGCGCTGCACAACTGCACATATGTAGGCCCAGCACTGGCATGCATCTCTGCCATGGATACACTCCCTTCACGCCACCTATGATTCATCATCTGCAATGAGATAAATTGCCTTGGTCGCCCATGAAACATTTACGCTCTACGGCCGTAATTAGTGAGCCATTTTTAGCTGTATACACATAGGCAACACTGTCTCAGCATAGAGCAAGGACGGTCTCAGTCAGTGGGTGCTGTTCATGTACCGTTATCAAGCAAACCAATTGGTAATTAAGCGATTAACAACTAATTATAGCTGGAGACTGGAAGCAGGTAAAAACGGTCCCAGTACATGAACGTACATCGTGTACACGTAACTGTCGGCAAATTATACACATGTATTGTTCATGTACATACTGGTAGAGTAAATGTACATGTATACTGGTGAAGTCCCTCTCACAGAAAAGATAAATTTACAGGCCGCAGAAAAACAAAAATTGTCAATACTGCAGTGCAGACATGTACATGTACCAGTATTCAATACATGTACATATATGTACAATGTAAGCACAATAATTGCAAACTTAAGTAAGCCAAAGCAACCTCATTGTCTAAACAATGACTCATACATTTCTTTTGAAATTGACATTATAAGAACAGTGTAGGCCCGCATGTAGTCCCAACCTCACACCGGTATGATAACCAGTGTGGTACTTTCACACCTGGCAGTATTTGTCAGAGTCATTGTGAGAACAAGGATTGAATGTACACGTGTGTATCCACACAAAATACCGTACTGGTACATGGGACTGATATGAGCATGCTCAGTAGATCCAAAACGCCAGTCTACACAACCTACCGGTACATGTATTCAAACTGAAGAGCAACCCCAAAATGAACAAAAATGAAAAAAAAAGGCCATGGCAAAACATTGATAACTTTGGGGTTTTCACAATTTCAGTGACCACTCTTTTAATGTAACTTAATGTAAGTTAACACTTTAAAAATGTACTGTAAATGGACATGTACATGTACCAGAACATGTGCGTATGTGTATTTAGTTTGTCAAACCAGAGAGAGAAAGAGCCACGATTTTTAAAGGACGTAGCCTACAATGTATTATTTTGAAGATGCCAGTTAATAAATGGTAACCACTAAACAAAATGTCGACTTCAATCTTACTTTGACTGGGGATCTCCTTTGCAATAACCCAACACTGCACTGAGCCCTGGGCCCACATTAGTTTCCATGCAATCCATTTTCCCCCAGTCACTGGAGAATACTCTTGTTTGTACAAGTATCACTATCCTGCACTTCTGTGTCGTGCCCCCTTGAGTCCCCGCACTGGCTGCTGCTAATGAGATCAGGCCAAGCGGAAAATTTCAAATTATGAGCTGGATTGCACCTGGAGAATAGTCTGACCAGGGGCTACAGTCTCCCATAGTGAGCGTCCTGTCAGAACATAATGCCAGGGCAGAATGGCTCTATTGGCAGGGTAGATAAGTTTATCTCTCACTGGCAGAGAGCATGGAGCCTGTGCTGACGTGCAAGTACACATGCATTCTTTGGAAATAAAAATCAGAAAATCTTTAACAAATAGTCATCTTTCGGTACTTTGCTGGCATTCTTTGCAAAGACACCGACCCAAACCCCAACCCTGAAATTCCCAGATCAGGTAAAAGTTTCACAATCCATTCAAGGGACCATTTCTTTTTTGTCAGGGAGGATTCTACACCCTCGGCTGAAGGAAGGCAGAGCACAGCAAGTACTTTGGGGATTGATACCGATTGAAGGTTGAACACACATGTACAGTGTACGATATATTAAGAATACATGTTTGTCATGGAGATCCCCGGTGTGGATCAACTTGGCTTTTGGAGGATTCAGGAAGTTTAATTGCCACATGTTACATGTATTGTCCAGTGTAGCCTCCCAGTGCTTTCTTCTTCCCTGGACAAATTTGGTACAGTCAAAACCCAGTGGAAGTGAAGCTCCAATTAAGCGAATATACACCTGTGTACATGTACATGTAGGCCTTTTCCCACTAGATCATCCACGCCCAAAGCAAACTCCCTCTGGGAACGCCCCAGGGGCCAGACCCGGGGTGACAATTTTTCACCACCCTCCCAGTACAACCCCCAAATCAATTCACAGTTTCTTTCATCTCTTTCTAGGGCAATTTCACCCCAGGGGATTGGCACACTCAGAAAACTCATCCTGAAGAAGTAAGCCTAAATCATTACACACAGTAGTTCGATGTAAAACAAATCTGGCTAAAGAATTAGAGGGCATTACTGTGAGGCTATCCTGTTTGCACACACATGCTAATGTACGCGCGCATCACATTGCTCTCTGGGCCAACAGGGTGTTGCGACTTGCCAAATTGCACCCGCACGCTCAAGTTAAGACATGCCTGAATGCAATCGCCCCACAGAGATGGTGTCTTCTCCTATTTGCCTTACACGTACAAATCTATACACAGTACCTATACATATACATTACAAATAATAACAGATCTATATCAAATACTTTTTCCATGCTTTTATTTATGGTATACTCCTGCTAGGGCACATAAAAACACACTGGCCAACTGCGGGCATATATGCACTATACCAGCACAATGTCAAGGAGATGCCATATGGTCTCCCAGACTGTTAATCATTAATCCCATGTCAACACCGGAGCCATCTACAAATTACAGGTGGATGACATAACAAAGGGACAGGAACTGAAAGGACATCAGTAGGATGGTTTGTGTACATTTATGAACGAGTTCACAGTGAGTATAAAAAAACATGTACTTTGTGTTTTCCATGTAGGCCTACAGCATACACACGTACTTTACATGTACACTGTACCACTACATCATGTATTATCTTTCTAAAAAAAATGCATTGTAACAGGGAGGATATTGTCGGTAGTAATTTTAATTCAAAAATTACATTTTCAAAGTAAAATCACAAAAAGGCCTACAAAGTTCTTTCCGAGGTCTGCCCATACCGGCACATGTCACTACAGTACAGTAACTGTGTACATTGTACAACACACCGGTACCCATACAGAAAATTACCGGACTAAGAATTGATCGAGTACCGGTACATGTATTTCATGTAATAAAAAGAAAAACAAATATTTCGAATATTACCATGGCAAGCTCTGAACAATGCCCAGACAAAAACACAACAACAAATCATAGCCAGGCATTCATCAATATCAGCATGGGACCATACCATCAGATCTTAATTTGTCACCTTTCCATAGTCCATGACCCCAGGCCTTCTGGTGGCACTATCTACACATGATGTGTACACAGAACACAGGCCCAGGCCAGGGACATTTCTACAGGACTCCCCTCCCCCACACCCTCACCAATTGTTTATAAGTCTGTCAGCCAAGGCCACACATGTCTGTAGATTTTATAATGTCTGGACGTGCCTTGAATGCTGAGAGATGGCTATGTTTGGAACCAAATCAATTGAAGTTAATGTATGTACACTGTATTTGGTACTGGTACAAAGGTTTGTCCATTTGTAGACTGAGAGAACGTCTTTGGGCAAGCAATCTGCAAGTTCACTGTTTCCACGGTGACTGTGCATTGCTTCCTAAAAGAGGTTTTCAGCTATTAGTTTAAATCCAAAGGCAATTTGTGACTTTTGTCCCTCTGCATGAATAAGATGACTCCACTCCATCCAACACAGTTCACCAGACGATGGTAGGCATGTACAAAATACATGGCATTGTACCTCTTTGACCATTGGGGTACTGCGACTTGCCAAAATCAAGTTTAAGAATATGCGTGAGTGTGACGAGTGACCCTGCAGTATTTAGTGTTTCGCGTGGGTCCCAATCTCTAGCGCTTATCTGTTGTTGGTCCACTGACACCAGAACCCACCTAATATACATGTACGTATGCATACCCGCCAACCTGTTGTGCTCCGTCTTGAGGTCGGGCATTACCACATAATTAGAATTTTAAATGAACCAAGGGCTCATTTAAATACCTTTTAATCTATTGTGTGTGGTAATGCCTGACTTCAGGAAGGAGTACATGTACATGTATAACAGGTTGGCAGGTCTGCGTATGTACTGGTACATGTACATCTAATGGCTGGAACGATTCAGTGTTGGGACCACTGACCCAGATCCAGATTTGTGGCCATGTTCTAGAACTTAGAAGATAAGTCTGTACATACAGCACATGTACATGTGTACGGCAATGTACCACAGTTTGATTTCAATGGGTACATGTATACCCATTCAAACCGAACAACATATTTTTACAAACAGTAAAACAAACAGTGAAGAACAGACTTTCCCAATTAGTTCCACGTAGTAGGTGTACATTTACAATACATGCAAGCAAAGGTCTTGGCTAACCAAACTCTGCATACAATGCGCACCCTACAGATTCGACTGTAAAGTCCTGCTTGAGTTCTGAGCAATGTTTACTCAAGCCCTTTTGTGTCCACTTCTTTGGCACGATACATTTTCTTTTCTTTCCTCACCTCTCGCTTTGTCCGCGATGGTGGGAACGCTTCCAGCGCCCACCCCAAATGGGATCCGTTCAACACCACTGTCAAGGTGTCATTATGCGGACGGTCTGGCATCTATTGTGAATAATTCACTCGGGCACGCATTCTCAATGTGTGTCAACCGTCTTGTATTCTCAGCGGCTTATGAAGTGGGACAGTCCTTTTTTGTGGGCCCCGCTGGGGGGGGGGAAACGAACAGTGAAAGCCCATGACTGAAGGCAGTTGATTGTGATATTTGGGAAAAGATTGATGCCATACAACTTACAAGCAAGTACATGTACATGTACGTTGACGGGATGTACAGCTTAGATGTCACACAGTTGAACAATTTGAACTCAAGTAGTCAGTGCAGCAGGGATTCACTACCAAATCATCCATGTTTAATACGATTTTGCTCGACCCCTTGGGGTTTAAATAAGGGATGTTGAGAGAACAATTCAGCTAGACTATTTCCCATCCATTTGAAGTTTTTTTCTTGTCCTCTTTTCTTCAGTATGACAAATGTGGATTTGAAAGCGAGTTTCATTTCAAAGGAGACAGCTTACTTAAAAAAAAATTATCACAATAACAATCTGTTTGTAAATAATGCATCACACTTATAGACATCATTTGGATTTCTGAAGTTAAGTGATTTTGTCTTATAATCTGTGGTTTGTCCGTTTGGCTGAAGATTTCAATTTCAAATGTCATCAGCATCCAAATCTTCATCCCAGTAGCTCAAGTAATGTGTCACATGATTTTAAAATTGTGTACTTCAAGCCTTCAAGGGGCATCAAGCTCCGGGTTTCTAATATCCTTCACCTACAGATCCTGAAGAATTCTGTAATCTTCAGTATACCAGTGAATTTCCAAGGATCTGGGAGGGTTTGTGTTCAGCAGTGCCTCATCTAGCTACATGTATCTCCTACATGAACCTGAACATAAACAATTTTGGAGAGGCAGTTTTTACTCATTTCAATCCATTTCCTTCTGAAATATGGACTCTTGTTATGACAAGGTTGTAGAGACCATGACTTTGTTAAAACAAGGACTTTGTTATAAGAGTAGAAAAACATAATTAGAAAAATTGTGATTCTTGACATGTGTTCTTTTCAATTTCTTTATATTCGTATTTTGTTAAACAGTGTTCTTTATAAAAAGCGTGGACTGCAGGTATGTGTCACTTTCATGTACCAAGTGTGAGTTGAAAAAATATTACTGGAAGTAGCCAGGCATTTCCTAAATTTGGCTAGGAATTGATATTGAAATCCTAGATAAAGTCTTGAGTTCAGGAGGGTCGGGTGTTTCAGGGTGGTTTTTTACGGCAAAAAATTTCTAGAAATTCGACCTCTTGTTCTCAGACTGAACACATTTGAACAGAATGTACCATTTACTGACTGCACTACACATATCATTACATACCGGTGTGGTGCGTGGAGGGCCCGGGCAAATGAATGCACATTTTTGGGTGACAGGAAGTACAGGTGTATGTATATATTTCTCAGTCCCCTGTTTTGATGGGAAGCGACTTAATACTAGCCCGTGAAACCTGGTGCGCTACTTTTTTTCAGTAGCTGGGGTGACAAATGATTCATGAAGAGGGGACAATGCAATACACCATTTAAGACATTTCAAAAACGCGAATCAATTACA